GCCCTTTCATACCCCAGGTGAGGCGCTGAGCAGCCACGACAGTGTATCTGAAGTTCTGCAAGGAGCCGCCAGTCTGAAACAGGTGGTCGCCGTACGAGCGCAAAGCCATGGCAAGGAGCGAAGGACAGGCAACGAACGACGCAACGGGGTCAGACGAAACGACAGAAGCAGACACCCAGCGCAGGAAGGCGGCCCAGGCAAGAAACCCCAGCCGGGAGGACGTGGCAGAGTGTAACGGGGCAGCGGCAAGTCCACCAGGAACGGAAGGCCTAGCAGAGGGGCGGCGAGGGCCAGGGTGCGAGGCTTCACCGATGCGGCAGCAGGCAGGAAGCTTTGCGCAAGCAGCGCGGTCAAGGGCGCGCTCCTCAGTCCAACCGGCGCCGGCACACAAACCGAGGGCGAGGATCTCACAGAGCCCCCGCGGGAAACTCTGGGCAACCAAAGTCCAAGGTTTTCGGTGGGCCTTTGAGTAGCCACGCAACTTTTGATGCCCCATAACCGAACAGAGAAGCCGAGCTCCTGCAAGACAGCAGTTGGTGACGATCCTCGTTCGCTTCCTCCACGGGCAGCCGCACAAGCACAGATCGACACGGAAGCTCCCGGAGGAGCGGCAGTCAGCAACCTCTTCCCAGCCTGGCATTCGCCACAGAAAAGAGAGGTCGGGGTTCTCAAACCAGAAGAGGACCCCGGCGGCCTGGGCAACACACTTCAGTTCCAACAGCCAGGCGCTCCAACGGTTATCCCGCACAACCTTTGCAAACACACCAGGAGGAAGGTGAGGGACACCAGCAGGGGCGGCCGCGGACCGCACGGGTGGAGCAAGAGCACGGCTGAAGGAAGCGCAGGGCGGCGAACCGCCGACACACAGAAACGCGCCCAAGCGAAGCAGCTCGAGCAGCTCGCGCTGCAAAGTGCCCGCGGAGAGGTCTTCGCTGGCACCACGAAGGCAGTCAAAAGTCAACACCCAAGGGCAGCCGTGGCGCACCAGAGCACGAGCGACACCGCCGACACCAGAAAACAAGTCCAAACCGCCAGGCCTTGACAAGTCGGGCCAGGGACCCTTGCACACGAACTGCCGTCGAGGAAAGTGCTCCAGCCGGCCGCGAACAACAGAGGGCAGCACCGGCGGGTTGAAGACAGGAGCGGGAGCAGAGGCACACGGGGCTGCAGTGGTGGCAGAGGCACGGGGCTGTCGGGAGCGAGCACGCTTACACGCACTGCCGCTCTGCAAGGCCGGGGGGGGGGTCCCACCTAAAGTGTAGAGACTCTCCTGCGAGAAGCCGTCACCGTCGACAGTAAAACCCTGATCCCGAGTGAGCTTATCCAACCGCGCAGGCAAGCCCCGGCACAGGTCAGCCCACCACAAAGGTTCGGGCATGGTTGGCTCAGCAACCTGTTGGTGCCTGGTGGGGGCATCAGCAGGGTTCACCGAAGTAGGGAAAAACACCAGATGAGGCAGGATGTGAAAACCCACATACGGCGCGATGCTTCGCGAAAGCAAGTCGTTGAGGGGAGGCGAAGCGGACCTGCCTTTCACCACGGCTCCGAGGGCGACCTGGCTGTCAAGACCGAAAAGAAAACGGTGGGTAGGCTTTCGGCAGCCAGCCCTGGCCTCTTCCCTAAGGTAAGCTTCGAGCTCGGCGATGTTTATATGCACTCTAGAGCGATACTCACGGCGCCAAAGCTCAGAGTAGGAGGGGTAGCAGGCCAAGCCCACGTAAAGAGGCGGAGCT